TGGTGAGCACCCCCGCGATGGCGCACAGAGACCCCACCAGCTTCCCGCCCACGGTGACGGGCGCCATGTCGCCGTAACCCACCGTAGTCATGGTGACGACGGCCCACCAGAAGGCCCGAGGGATGGACGTGAAGGAAGTGGTGGGATCTTCAGCCTCGGCGAAGTAGACGGCGCTGGAGAAGAGGACGACGCCGATGAGGAGAAAGAAGATGAGCAGCCCCAGCTCCCTCATGCTGGCGCGAAGGGTTTGGCCCAAAATCTGTAAACCCGTTGAGTGACGGGACAACTTGAAGACCCTGAAGACTCGAACCAGGCGGATGACGCGCAGGATGGCCAAGGACATGGCGGGTTGACCCACGCCGCGTTGCCGCGCCAGTTCAGTTCCCAAAGCGACGAAGTAAGGGACGATGGCGACCAAATCGATGAGGTTCATGGCGTTACGGAAGAAGGCGGTTTTGCTGGGGCTGGCTAAAAGACGGACCAGGAGCTCCAAGGAGAACCAGCAGATGCAGATGGTCTCCACCACGAAGAAAGGATCGGTCAAACTGCCTCGGGGGGACGGTGAGGAGGAGGTGTTGACGTTGGTGGAGACGGGCGGTGGGGTCTGGGGATGGAGATGGTGAAGGGTTTAGGGGATGGGTGGGATGGACACCGTGGGGTGGTGGAGGGGGTCAGAGCCCCACCCAGAGCCCCGGGTCCACCACCCACCATGGGTTATGGGGGCCTAGAACCCACCCGGACACTTGGGTGCCCTCCTTGGGGAGGTGTAGAGGATCAGAGCCCACCTAGAGACTTCGGTCCACCACCCACCATGGGTTACCAGGGTCAGAGCTCACTCAGACCCCCAGATCCACCACCCACCATGAGTTACGGGGGCTTAGAACCCACCCAGAGCCCCAGGTCCACCACCCACCATGAGTTATGGGGATCAGAGCCCACCCAGAGCCCAGGGTCCACCACTCACCATGGGTTATGGGGGCTTAGAACCCACCCGGATACTTGGGTGCCCTCCCTGGGGTGGTGGAGGGGGGCAGAGCCCACTCAGACTCCAAGGTCACCCATCTTGATGCTTGGGTCCACCACCCAGCATGGGTTAATGGGGGGCAGAGCCCACCGGGACACCTGGGTCCCAGGAGATGGAGAAGGAAGAGGAGGAGGAAGAGGACAAGGATGAGGAGGAAGAGGAAAATGACAACAAGGAATAGGAAGAAAAAGAAATGGGAAATGATGAAGATGAGAAGAAGAAAGAGGAAGAAAAGAAGGATGAAAGTGATGAAGAAATGGGTGGATGAAGAAGAATGGAAGAACGATGAAGGTGATAAGAGATAATGAAGTAGAATGAGACGAATGATGATGAGGACGATGAGGATGATGAGGAAGCTGGGAAGAAGGAAACAGATGATGGCGATGAGAATGATGATGATGAAAAGATGCAGACAATGAGAATGATGAGCATGATAGTGAGGAGAAAGAGATTGAGAAAAATGATGATGAGGAAGAGGCTGACATTAATGAGGAAGAATGGGAAAAGAAGAAGAAAGAGCTGGAGAAGATGGAGAAGGATGTGAAGAGAGTGATGAAAACGAAGATGATGATAGGAAAATGAAGAAGAGAAAGGAAGAGGATGAAAAGAATGATGAGGATGATGGTGATGAGCAGGTTGAGAAGAAGGGTGATGATGATGAAGAGCATGAGGATGGTGATGAGGATGGTGAGGACAATGGGGATGAGGAAGATTTTGGGGGGGACTCATTTGCAGTGAGGGCTCCCAGGCTGGAACTGAGGTAGGGTCTCCAAGCAGGAAGAAGAGCAGAAGGAAGACGAGGGAGAGAAGAAGATTGACAAAAAGAATGAGGAAGAGAAAGATGAGAATGATGACGATGAGGAAGATTATGAGGAAAATTATGTCAAGAAAAAAACCAAAAAGATGCAGAAGAACGAGGAGGAGGAGAACGATAACGAAAGTGATGATGATGAGGAGAAGGTTGGTGAGGACGAGGATGATGAGAATGGTGAGAAGGAGAATGGTGACAGTGGGGATGGTAAGAATAGTAAGGGTGGTGAGGACGATGATGATGAAGATGATGAGGATGAGGATCATGGGGTTGAGGATGGTGGAGATGAGGATGGTGAGGATGATGAAGAGGAGGATGATGAGAATGGCGAGGATGGTGAGGATGGAGATGAGAACAGTCATGATGGTGATAGTAAGGATGGGGAGGATGAGGATGAGGACGGTGAGGTTGAGAATGGCAAAGATGAGGATGAGGATGCCAAGGATGAGGATGCCGGGGACGGTGAGGACGAGGACGGTGAGGGTGATGATGAGGAAGATGGTGAGGATAAGGAGGATGAGAGTGAGGATGGTGAGGATGAGAATGATGAAGTTGAGGAGGAGGATGGTGAGGGTGAGGAGGAGGATGGTGGGGCTGAGGATCATAAAGATATGAGGATGGTGAGAATGAGGACGGTGAGGATGAGGAGGATGAGGAGGGTGAGGACGAAGACCCCCACCGTTGCCCACCACTCACCTGAGCAGACCCCTCCCCTCCAACCCGAAACTGGGGCAGGGTCTCCAAGCAGAAGACAACGATGGAGACGAGGATGACGAGGACGGAGAGCAAGGCCACGGCGCGGGCAGCCGGCGAACTCTCGGGGTGTTCGCACAACAACCACGCCCGTCGTTGTAACCTCCCACTGGGCAAAGGCTGCGCCACTTCCACTGCAAAGCCTTCGGCCTCGCGGAGTCTTCCTTCCGCTTCAGCACCCAGCTGGTAGAACCGTAACTCTTCCAAGAAGACATCTAAGGGGACGTCGGGTGGTCGACGGAGTCTTCCACCGGATTGGTAGTAGTAGAGGACGGCGCCGAAGGCTCCGCGGTGGCGGTCGAAGAAATACTCCCGGCGTTGGGGGTCAAAGTACCGTCGGCGTCGGCGGGGGTCACCCAGAAGGGTGTCAGGGAACCGGAGCAGGGTTCTCCCCAAGGTTTCGAACCGACGTCCCGCCACGTTGA